ACTTTGGGTTAGAGCAAGCTGCGGGAAAAAAACTTGAGCGGAGGCCAAAACGAGAGAGAGAGAGAGAGAGAGAGAGAGACACACATCGTTACACAAAAAAAAAATCGCCCTCAGTTTTCCTCCCTCGCTCCTCATGGCGTGATATCAGGCAGCTCTTGGCAATAATATGTCACCACCACCACCACCACAACTTGTCCCTAAATGACTGTGGGAAGGGAGCAGATAACCAGGCGATCTGGTTGCCAGGAAACGGTGTGAAGTTTCAGCAATCCCAGGGACGGAACGGCAGACTTGAAAATAATGACTTTGTTCAATGTGCGCGAGAGAGAGAGAGAGAGAGAGAGGGAGAGAGAGCGAGCGAGAGAGGGAGAGCGAGAGAGCGAGCGAACCGTGTCCCCGTTTAATTAATGGCGTTCGCTCGTTCAGCCTGTGAGAGACAGCGAGAGAGAGGGAGAGGGAGAGAGAGAGAGCGCCAGAGAGAAAGAGAGAGCCAAAGAGAGCGAGAACAAACAAACAGCAAGTCTCTTACACAACACCACGCAGGTTGGCACAAAATAAAAGCAATTAGGTTCCTGCGATACGCTTGTTTGCTGGGTTTGGGCCTGACGTGATAAATGGGGGGCATTTTATGTTTAAATGACTATTTTGCTTCACGATGCCACGTTTGGAGGATGACTGCTGCACCACAACAGTGATTAGAGAGGACTTAGAAGAATAATCATCATCATATTCATAATCATAATAATAATCCTTTATTTTATTCTATTCTGTGAAGCGCTTTGAGAAGTTTCAACGACACATTGATTAGGCTTTGTGTCAAATGCAAGGATTAGTATTATTGATGATGTACCGAGTGCTAAAACAACAGCCCCACAACTTTTACCCTGTGTCGTTTCATCACAAGCTCCGTCGATTGCTTGTTTCTTACAGTTAAACAGCCAATTCACTTCTCGAAGATGTGATAACAACAATAATAATAACAATAACCCTTGTATTTGACGCCGCGCCTCATCGCGTCTTCGCGACGTCTCAAAGCGCTTCACAGAATAGACTGTAAAGTGAATTGACTGTGTATTTTCTGGGCGGAAAGTGGCAGGCAATTGCGCACAGCAGCGACCCCACAAATGAGCGACCAATTTATGACTCTTTTGTTTCTTGCCTGCGGAGCAAGGAAACTCGCCCAAGATAAGACGCTATTTCGAATTGTAAGGATTATTATTATTGTTGTTGTTGTTCCTGAGCGTAAATGAGCCCGGAGGTGGAGAGGGAGGGAGCGAGGCTTCTCGCTTTGCGGAAAGGGAGGGTCTGAAATCAAAGACATCAGTAGGACCAAGTTTTCAATCAGAGTTTGCTCCGAGCTGACAGTAATGGATTGAGATGTGGAAGATGTAGCACAAATTGAATAATGTAATAAAGGACATGATCCGAATTCAAATAAAAACCCATCGAAGAGTTAGTCCGCCCCCCCCACCCAGCCCTCGCACCCCACACCTCCCCCCCTCGCCTCCGCCACTCCCCCCTTCACCTCCTCCAAGGCCCATCTCAAGACTTTCCTCTTCGATCATGACCGACCACCCTCCCAGCCCCACTAGGCCCCAACCCCCAGCTCAGGTGCAAACCCTTATCCGTCCAGCGCCTCGGGACTTCCTGTCGACGTGAAAGGTGCCGTGTCACTGCCAGTTGTTGTTGTTGTCGCCCTCGTTGGCACTTCAACTTTACTCCCGTGACAAACCCAGTGATTCGTTTTTTTGCTCACAAGGCACACAGGCACTTCACTGTGCAGTCTGTGAGGCACGTTGAGACGTCTCAACGACGTGAAAACACAATGCAAGGATTATTATTATTATTAACGTGTGAAAGTGAGTTATCCTTGGCTTCCTCCGCATCAGGCTTGGCCGGAGCGTGGAGTTGACGGAGTGAAGGAGACTCTAAGGCAGCTCCGCTGTGGGTTAGAGGTCTACTTCCTTGCCTGTCCCATCACGTGGAGTGAAACCCCGGTGCCGCTGGGGGCTGTGCTGGTCCGGGGCTATCATTACTATTATTATTATTGCCCAATCAATCTGCAGAGGAAAAAGCAGTAGATTCACATTTGCATAAATCATTCATGCAAATCATCTCAGCAGCTTCCAAACTCGGCAGCTCCAGTCAGCTTCGTTTATTTCATATTAAACCGCGTGACATCAAGTATTAGCGGCGTTCCAGGCAGCGCAGAACGAGAAGAGGACGAGGAGAATGCACAAACCGCCACCACTTGCATTCTACATGTCGCTCTTGTGTCTCGTTGCCCCCTTTCCCCCCACCCACCCACCCCACCCCACCCCCCAAAGTAATGGGGGAAAATTGCGATGAGTAATGTGTTGGTTATCAAATTGTTCATTAATGTAGACGCCACTGGAGACACGATGGGGAGAGAGCGGGGACTGGGGTTAGAGTGGAGACCTGAACTGGAGGTTGGGTTCAGGAGGGGTGGACGGCAGCGATGTGTAGGTGGGTGACCAAAGGCGTGGACGAAGAGGTGGGACTTGAGATGGGCCTTGAAGGAAGCGAGGGAGGAAGGCGAAGGGAATGTGGAATGGAGAAAGGGTGGGGGGGCAGAGAGGCTGAAGGCCTGACCGCTGATGGTGGGGCGGGCCGGGTGAGTGGGGGTGGGCGTGAGTGTGGGGGGACATGGGCAGACTGGAGCCTTGAATAGAACAGAGTCTGGGAGAGAGTTGCACAGCGAGGAGAAGTGGTGCGTGGAGCTCTCTGTTCCGTTCTGTGTGGACATTTATTTATCGCTACGCCCGTTAAAGGGAAACTCATTAAAGTAACAAGGAAAAGCTCATTAGTGTGATCCTCTGGAGGGGCTAAATATCTATTGCAAGTTGCAGAAATACACTTGTTTTGCGAGCTGACATCTGCGGAAATGATGACTGCGCAAAGTCGTGGGAAACCTCCCTACTCTCCCGACGTGAAAGGATTTCCATCTTCGTTGACGTCTATTTTAGCTTATTCCCACTTTTTAAGGATTCTTTTTTCGAGGCTCGGTCCGACATCCATTACTCCATTCCGCTTCTTTCAAGAGGGTTGGAGGCGAGGGGTGGTGGGGGTGGGATGGTGGCCGAAGGCACAGTCAAAGGAGAAGGTCTTGAGACGTGCCCTGAAGGAGGCGAGGGAAGGGGGGGGAGTGAGGCAGAGGGATTCGGGGATGGAGTTCCAGAGGCTGGAGCGAGGGTTGGATAGCATACGGCGGAGTGGGGGTGCGGGGAGAGTAGCGCTGAGGGATTGCAGGAGGTACGAGACTGAAAATGATGGAGGAGAGTGGTGTGCAAGAGCTGCCAGCGCTCGAGGGGTTAACTGCGCCAATCGCTAAGCGAGGGCTGACCTCTCTCACCTTGTGCCGATGGTTAAAAGGCTCTTGATCAGCACCTGCCGTGTCAGCTAACGCCACGCATGGAAGCCTGATTATTGTACACTCCAGTCCTCTTACTCAGTGGTCCGATGATGGCTTTTGCTCGGCAAGCTGTTCGGAACCTGTGGGCGTTTCCAGGGAAGGTGCGGAGACGAGAGGACATGCAGTTACAGTTCCCCAATGGTGTCAGCTCCCATGCTCTGCCCTTTCCTTCTCGGTCAATGTCACGTTGAGAGCAGGGCACGATATGTGGAGTCCTGTAGCTCGGTGGTTAGAGCTCTCGCCTCGCAAGCGAGAGAATCCGGGTTCGATTCCCGGTCAGGATGAAACCTTAGGCAAGTTTCCTTACTCCACACAGACACACACACACACAGACACACACACACGCCTCTGTTTAGTAACCAGGTTGTTATTCGATTGGTGGATATCTTTTCCGAGGATAACAATCCTCCAAAAATAATAATAATTTGGTCACTTCAATCCAGGGCTGTTTGTGGGGACGCCGCTGGGAGCCATTGGCTGCCGCCACAAAACACACAGTCAATTCACTTTGCGGTGTATCCTGTGAAGCGCTTTGAGACGTCTCGACGACGTGATGAGGCGCTGTATCAAATGCCAGGATTCATATTATTATTACGATAAGTGCCAACCTGTGGCTCAGTCACTCCCGCTCTCACCTCCGGTTGTATGATTAAGTCGCTCAAAGTCAGGGACTTGGAACTCACAGTCTCGGCTGACCTTCCAGCGCTGTGCTGGGGGGAGGAACGCCCCAGGTTTGTCGGAGGCGCCGTCCTTCGGATGAGACGTTAAACCCCGCCTGTGTCCTGTTCAGGTGGACGTTAAAGATCCCGCGGGAAAGAGCAAAGGAGAAAGGCATCAAACCAACAGCAGAGAATGTCCGAGCAAAATTAACAGAGCGAGAGAGCGAGAGAGAGACAGAGAGAGAGGAAGTTTAGCTTTGCCTAAGTTAGCAACAGTTTTGTGAAATTGACACATACTGGGTGAGAATGGGGAGTTTTAATCAAACAATGTCTAACCTTTTACAGTGGGAATGAATTCATGGAAGGTAATTGTTCTGGCATTGCTATTATTTAAGTTATTACAGATATCCTTCGCCAGATAATTAACTGTGATGAAGTAGGCAATGATATCTTTCCCCAATGCTCCAGAGGATAGTCAGCACAATTAAGCACTGACTGACTGACTGTTGCTTTGATATATAAGTTAGAGGACACTTTCACTGCTGGGACTATCATCTGTATTTTTTAAATTGCATTTCACTTTGAGGGACGTGCTTTTAATCATATAATAATAATAATTATCTTTGCTTTTGATATAGCCCCTTATCACATCGTTGAGATGACACAAAGCTCTTCATAGAATATATTGTAAAGTGCAGTCACTGTGTGTTTTGTGGGTGAAACTCGGCAGCCAATTGCGCACAGCAGCGACCCCACAAACAGCCGTGGATTGAGTGACCAATTCTTTTTTATTTTGGGGGGAAGGATTATTACCCCCGGAAAGCGATCCGCCCATCGAGTAACAACCAGGTGCCTACTTACTGCTAGGCAAACAGAGACAGGTGGAGCAATGAAACTTGCCTCAGGTCTCACCCCGCCCGGGAATCGAACCCGGGTCCTCTCGCGTACGAGGCGAGTGCTCTCACCACTGAGCCACAGGACTCCGCAAGACTCCAACAAATGTCGGCTCATAACGCAGACGTTTGAACAATGCTTAAATCATTCCTCAACACATCTATACGAGATTCAGACAGAAGCAGACAGAGCATTGCTCAGCTTAATTCTCAGCTACCAGTGATTTTTTTTTCCGCCTGAGTTAAATATATCCACTATGAGCCACTATCTGCCCAATTGGAAATATTGATGGTTTCAAGAGTAGGTAACACTTAGTATGAGAAGCAATAAAATGAGCCACTTTCCTCAGATTCCCCCTGTGCACATCACCAAACCCGCTCGAGAAAGATTGAATATGCGACGTTCCTTAACAGATCGGTCGTGCTAATTAGCACATCGAGGGCTAGTCAGCCCCCACTGGCTCCAGATTGATTCTATTCAAAATGCACTACAAAATGACATTTACACTGCATCTTTCACGTCAGGAGGAGGTCCCAAGGCCCTGGACAGTCAGGGATTTGCACCCGAGCTGGGGATTGGGCTCAGGAGGGGGTGGAGGGCGGGGAGGGTGGGGGGGTAGGAGGGTGACCGAAGGCACAGTCGGTCGAAGAGGAGGGTCTTGAGGCTTGTGCCTGGAAGGAGGCGAGGGAGCAGGCGAGGCGAAGGGACTGTAGGATGGAGTTCCAGAGGGTGGGGGCAGAGCGGCTGAAGGTCCGGACACCGATGGTGGAGCTGGCCGGGCGGGGGACATGGAGCAGGTCAGAGCCCGCTGAGCGGAGGGAGCAGACAGGTTGATACGGGGTTAGCAGGTCACAGAGGTAGGGAGGAGCTGGGTCTTGCAGTGCCTTGAAGCTGAGGACCTTCCTGTCCTGTTTCTGAGTTCAGAGTCTGGCAATGTCTTAATCATAGCTCGTTTTCAAGGACTAACTGGGAAAAGCCAAACGTGATTAAAATTCAGCCATTTTATTTTGGATTATTATTCTTATTGTTGTTATAGTTTGCTGAAATTGTGGACGGCCCAAATAATAAGAATAATAATAACCCTTACATGTGGTACGGTAAAAGATAATAATAATTCGGTCACTCAATCCACGACTGTTTGTGTGGGGAACACTGCTGTGGGCAATTGGCTGCCGTGTTTCGCCCACAAAATATCCAGTCACTACACTCGACAGTATATCCTGTGAAGGGCTTTGAGACGTCTCAACGACATGATAAGGCGCTGTATCAAATGCGAGGATTGTTATTATTAGTGTTGCGGCACTTTTCACCTCGGGAGGACATTTCGAAGCCTTTCACACGGGGCACACGGTAAAGTGCACGACTGTATATTTTGTTGGCGAAAGACAGCAGCCAATTGCTCTCACAAGCAGTTGTTTCGTGGCTGAGCCCCCAACCTCTGTGTTTTGCCATGTATCGAGGCTGATCAATTAATAGTCTGAACGCGCCGATAATAACAGGAAGGAAGCAATAAGTTTGGCTCCAGATCTGTTAGCAGCTTTTGTGTCCCTGGTAATAGATGGGCTTGATATTAAAGGTTTGTTCCGCGGTTGAAAGCAATCTGTTCTTATTATAAAAGGCAATTCAGTCCTCCTCGGGAGTTCACATTAGTTGCAAAGGGTTTGTACCGATCAGACAAGCCGTTTGTTTTATAATTTCCAAACCTGCTGTACAGGGGGGTGAGAAATTGCTTGGCAAGTGGAGGCTGAGTGATTTCCTTTTTACACTGACCAACTCGGTAGCCATTTTGCTCAAAGCAAGGTCCCGCACCAGGTGAATGAAAACAATTTGGTCACTCAATCCACGGCTGTTTGTGGGACAATTGGTTGCCGTGTTTCGCCCACAAAGTACACACTTTACAGTGAATTCTCAACTGCGTGACAATAATAATATTAATAATTCTTGCGTTGGATACAGCGCCTTATCACCTTCAGACATCTCAGAGCACTTCACAGAATATCCTGTAAAGTGAATTGATTGAATATTTTGTGGGCGATAAGGCGCTGTTTCAGGAACAAGAACTATTATTATTATTATTATTGAGCTCCTGTTAAACATAATCCATTACTATTGACATTCCACGATGGGTTCAATGAAGTGAAATTGTTAACAGTGCCAATCACGTTCCACTTGTGACTTCCAGATCAATATCTTGGAATTCAGACGTGTCATAAAAGCTTAAGGTCGCTGCTCATATCTCTTCCCCCCATCCCTAACCCCACAAAGGTTATTAGTTTGGTAAGGGAATGATGTCTCGAGGGAGAAATTAGGAAGTCAAACAGGGGACTTGAAATTCCATTATCCTACAAGATTGTCAACTGGAAGTTTGTGTTACTACACTGTGAACTTATGGAACGCTCTGCCTCAATTCCTCTGCCTCGCCCCCCCCCCCCCCCCATCTCCTTGCCCGTCTTTAGATCAAAGCTGAAGACCTTCCTCTTCAACCGCGCCTATGGTCACCTCCCTTCCCCCCCCCTCTCTCTCACTCGGTGTGAAACTCGACACTGTGAAGCATTGTGAGATGCTATCCTGCGCGAAGGGCACTGTGCGAATGCAAGTTGTTGCTGTTGTTGTGCGAGAGGTGGCGGGGAGTGGAGTTGGGAGGGGGGGAGGGGTAAATGGTGACTTAAATTGGATCCACTTCAACCAAATACTTTACATGGGGCTCCAAACTAAGGTGAAATAGATTGATTACTGCTCTAACGCAATTCGCTGCCACGTTTCGCCCACAAAATAGACAGTCACTCCACTTTACAGTATATCCTGTGAAGCGCTTTGAGATGTCTCAACGACACGATAAGGAACGATACCAAATGCAAAGAATATTATTAATATAGAATAACAAGAAATTCAGTCACGTGGCAATGGGATTTGTAAAGGGCGATGTGAGAGAGTAGAGAGATGGCGGAGTGGGGGTGGGGGGGGGGGGGGGGTGGGTGGGGAGCGAGAGGAAAAAAAATCAAGCTCCTCTCTCGAAACACTATGGGTAAGTAAATCATCTCGAGCTGCTGTGAATTGGACTGAAATTGGATTGTCACTCGGCTCACGAAAGGACAGGACATTGCCTATAATATATATGTATATAAATAAATCAATAAATCAATCAATCAATAAATAAATGGAGAGATAATCAAGCTCTGAGATTGTCGGGAAAATTGGTTCATTTTCCTGTAATTTCACTGCGCTAGCCTGCAGTTTGTAATAAAGAACAGACTTGAGGGAAATAACAGCTAAAGCTGTCTTAATTTCCAGCTCGCTCTGCGAGGCCAAACAGCAAACCCCCAGTGGGTTTGGTAGGTCGTGCTAGTTTATTAATTCTCTCTCTTTCTTTTAAACTGTCACCGAGTAAAGCTCCGAGCTTCCGTGTAGAACGTTCGAAGCGATGGGATTCATTCCTCAAAACTCGCCTCCATCACTTCCCCGGGAACTCTCTATGTGCATGTTGTTGTTGTTGTTGTTGTTGTTTCAACTCTCAGTCCAGGCTGACTTTCCAGCGCAGCGCTGGGAGGGGGTTGTGCTGTGTTGTTGGACCTTTGTTAACAACCTCCGTGGTCCTGGAACTCCATCCCCCCAGTCCCTTCGCCTCGCTCCCTCCCTTCCTCCCTCCCTCACCTCCTTCAAAGCACCATGTTAAACACCTCAATGGGATCACCATTCAACCTTCTCGTCTCAAGGCGACAGAAACAGCCAATTAAGGATTTGCAGGCCAGAAATTCTCCAAACCGATATCTCTTCAGGGCATTGCAGCTGCCATGTTATTGACCGCTCCTGCAAAACAGTGAGATGATAATCATCATCGGTGCATGTTATAGCACAGCGCCTTTTTATCTGAGGGGATTGCCGGCCGGGAGAGGGAGGGGGAGAGACCCCCTTCGCTTTCCGAGTGGTGCCGCGGAAATCTTTAAATCTTTAACTGAACAGGCAGGACAGGGCAGGGAGACGGGGAGCTTGTTTTAACGTCTCACCCGGAACATTTTAGACTTACGCATAGCCTTTCACGCACGTCTCAGTCGTGTTTTACTCAAGTTTCCTTATTCCACGCACGCCTCTGTTTACCCAGCGGTAAGTAGGAACCCTGTTGTTGGTCGATTGGCGGATCACTTTCCGGGCTGTAATAATCCCTTCAAAGGAAAAAATAATCCACAGCTGTTTGTGGGGACGCTGCTGTGTGCAATTGGCTGCCGCTTTTCACCCAGAAAATATACAGTCAATTCACTTTACAGTCTATTCTGTGAAGCTTTGAGGCATCTCAATGACGTGATAAAGCGCCGTATCAAATGCAAAGGATTATTATTATTACTAAAGAAGGATTGGAAGCCCCAGATGTGGGGGGGGGGGGGGCCTGGATCTGGCGTGGGGGAGGATGGGGGTGGGAGGTTGATGAGACACTGGTTGAATGTGTGTGTGTATGCGTATGCAAAGTGTTTGGGGGGGTGGGGTGGGGGGAGAAGGAGGAGGAAAAGAAAGTAAACTTAAGTGCACACACAGCGTGTTTCACACAGAGACTGAGATGATGGAAACTGTGCGCTCATTATCTGACGATGATTGGCAGGCTGAGTGATGAGGCGAGAGCTTTAATTGTTGCTGCCACGGCGTTCGACAGGCTTTTAAGGGAACGTGTTATTTATACAATGAAAGTGGCCCCCTGGGAGACCTTGACTATGACAGCAGCTCAGCTCGTGTTCCAGTTATTGTACGTGGGCAGCTCATGCTGGGTTTCCACTAGTCTCGCTCTCTCTCTCTCTCTCTCTCTCTCATCTCATTCCTCGTTTGTCTGCCCCACGTCAAGTGGTTGGCTCTGCGTTGTCCGACACGAGCTGGTAAAAGAGATCGAGACAAAGGGAAACAGGCACAAGGGAGAGGGGGAGAGGGAGTGGGCGGGAAGGAGGGAGGGACGGAGGGGGTTGGTGTAGAGTTAACAAACTCCAGCACGGACTGGTTGGCTTGAACGGTCTGGTTTGTATTAGTCCTGCAGCGTATTGGTTAGAGCACTCCTCGCGAGCGAGAGGACCCGGGTTTCATTTGGTGCAATCGGCATTTTCGCCGCGT